TCCACATCCAGAAATTTAATTTAATAAACAAGTTAATAAAGAAGTGCCCACAGTCACATATTTAGATATTCATCTAGATTTATTAATTTAACAATTTTTTACTTATCGTATTTTCATGTTTTGTCTGCCAACCTCTAATATTTCAGGTTTATTCGACCAAAATATGAACTTATATTTTCCCAATATCAAAGTGATTGGCGTCTTTTATTCTCTTCATTCCTCTGTGATGATTTTGACCCCCTGAATGCAGAGCCGATGAATCTGATATTTTCTTCACTTCAATGCTACTCGCCTACGGGTCAAATCGTACATTTCCGACTTCCGACAAGCTAATGTTAGCATTAGCTTGACTGAGATTTGGTGTGTATTTCAGACTATCATGGAAAATGGAAAAATGTCACAAACAGAGCCTGTCACATTTATTTCAAATTCAAGACAACGGTTTTATTAATGACTAAAAAAATTATGTGATCATGTTTGATACTCGATCATGACGTCACTCCATTCGGCCTGATAACTTTGGAGGAAGGAGTGGCGGTTAAAAAGAGGGTTGTGGATCTGTCTCGGTTGTGGATCTGTCACAGTCGTGGATCTGCTTGGCTCTCCAGCTCTGCAGACACCCCCTACTCTGATTCACTCATGTCCTCATAACTCCACCCACTTGACGCTGGTTTCCCCATAAACGTCTCATAACCTTCGAGCTCTTGATGAGATAACCCTGCTGACATCACTGCGGCATCATCATGTTCCTCAGGAGCTCCTCTGGAGAAACATCTCACTGTTTTCTCACCGTAAAGACGTCTGTACACTGACTTTGAGGAGTAAAATGGGTGAAATGTCCCTTTATGAAAACAATTCCCACTCCAATCTCCACCCTTTCCACATGGTCGATCAGCACAAAGTTAACTCCGTCTCAGGAGTTCATGGAGGGTGTGAAGAGCAGGACAGACCGCTGGTCTCCTGGCAACACCCAGTGAGGCATTCCAGTAATGAGACAAGAGGACAGCATCCTCTTACTGTGCACTCAACCAGATGCAACTAATGCTTCATTCAGAGTCTTTCAGAGGAGCTCAGACGGAGAGGGAGAGAGAGAGGGAGGGAGGGAGGCAGCGGCCCAGACTGGCACATGGAGGACACGCTGCTGTTTGGTGTGATAGTCCACAAAAACAAAGACAAACGGACAAACTTTCTCCTCTGAGTAAAATCAGCTGAGTACGCAGTTCAGCTCTGTCCTGGTTATATCACAAACATCACATCCTCTACTTTTAACCCCTCTTTGCTGCAGAGCTCACTCATCCAGCTCGTGGGCGTGAGTCGAGTTGTATCATAAAGAAGAGCTTTACCTACGGAGTCTATCTCGAGCAGCCGCTGGAGGTCGCTGATGCTGCGGATCTCACTGCGGGAGAGGCGCTCCAGCAGCTCCCGGGGGAGAGGAGACTCCTGCGGGGAGACAGACACTCGATGAGTCGGTTTATTGGTGATAAAGTTGGACACGTTCGTGCGTAAAAGGCGCAGAAGCGTAAAGGTGAAAGAAAAGTTGTTTACACTACAAATACGACAGACAACTTGCACCAAAGAAAGATTTTAGCAGTTTCCAGTATTTTTCCGGTTAATTGCGACTAATTAAGATGAGTTCTGACTCGGGGATGGCTCACCTCAGCAGCGGTGCGTAACAGGCAGAGGCAGCCGGCGAGGAGGTGGTACACCGCAGCTCTCATCTCCTCTCAGATCCGCTGCATGGGCACCAGGACGAGGCGGGGATCCTCTGCAGGAGCCGGGCTGTCGCTCCCTGTTCTCGGGAGCCCACAAACATCCCTCGGGAAAGCTGTGATCTCCACCAAGACCTCGATGAAAGAGCGTGAAGAAATGAGGATGATGTTCGAACACGGATTAAGTGAGGAGTAAAGAATTCTGATTTCCAACACGACCAAAAAAAATCCGGCAAAAAAAGTTTCAAGTCAGAGAAAAAGTTGAAAATCTAAGTGGGTCGAATGAAGTCCAGCAGCTCGTTTCAGCTCCAAAAGAACAGGTGTTCAGTGAAAGTATAAAAACCTCTTTTCCATCCTTCTCACATCCCTCCATATCCATCATTCCCCCTCATTATAATCCCCTCATTGTCTCACATTTGTCCGTCCTCCAGCTGTTGGCTCTCTTGGCACTCTTTGTGGCTAAAACAGAATCTGTAAAACGATCTTTTCCAGAAACAAAAACGATCTTTGGAGTTTTCGAGGATGAATTGGCATCAATAAAGCAGAGACGAGCTCTCCGCCCTGCAGCCCGCAGGAGTTGGATGTCAGTTCCCAGCGGTCCTGTGATCTCCGGGGTGAATGAAGTCGAGATGCTTTCAGTCACAGGATATAGCCGTGCGCGTCCCCGTGCCCAGCACTTGGAGCGCGCTTTGCATGGTAGAGAGTAGAGAACTGAAGGAGGTCTGATCACAGCAAAGACTCTTTTATCATCACAGCTTCAACAGGAGGTGAATTTAGCTTTGGTGGGTTTTGTGTCTTAAGATTCAGACGAGAGTTTTACTTCACTGTGGTAGTAATTTATCAATAAAGCAAGAAAATTTAATGATAATAATCTCTCAGTTGGTCCCATAATCTCACATTTTCTTCTTGAGTGTTTGTAACTGAGAGAGAGAGAGATCTGTGACTGTAGCCTGAGAGGTGGAGATGGAGTCCTGAACATCAGCCCTGCAGACTCAGAGTTAAAGGAGAGAAGTTTAGCAGACTGATCTTTAGTTCAAGATCTTGTTCATGACTATTTTAAACAACAGTCATACAAAAATATAAGAAAATATAAGTGAGAAGTTTATAACAAACAAACATGGATCACGTTATTTTTCACCTCCTTTAGTCTGGAGTTGTCTGATCCTCTTCAGGAGAGAAGGACCTTTAAACTTCTGACTGAGCATGTGCAAACGAACGCTGGGAGCTGCATGACTGACATAGCCGGTACTTGGTAAGAAACTGTGCAACTTACCTGGGATTTCCACTGCACTGGCGATTTTCGTCATATACCAATTCTTACCGGATCAGTTTGTGAGGCGAGTAGGCGGATTATGGACAGCAGGAATCATAAGAACTCAGAAGAACCCGAGGATTCACGTTCAATCACGCGATAACAAGTTGTCTTTAGCCACAGAGGTTAACCATATAAGCAGTAGATTGTGTCCTTCCAGAGGAGGAAATCTACTTCTAGACTTCTAGAATCAGCATCTCCTCATCCATGGTGTCATCGGGGTGAAATGACGTCTAAAAACCTTTCACTTGTTCGTCTCCGCCCGTTTGCATGGTGTGAAATACGATCCTCCTGAAACACGGAGTGTTTTATTTTGAAAAGCAGCCGGATGTTTTATTTTGTGTCTGTGCCCGACTTCCTTTCCAGCACGGGTTAATCTGTGCTGAATTTATCCGCCATGCTCCGGCGTCCAGAAAAAATAGAACTCTTGTGATCAGCTGAGGAGTCCGGCGATCCGCAGAGGAACGGAAAGAAGTCGGTGTAAATTGACACGTTAACTTGAATGGTTACGATCAGCTACGATCGGAGGATACGACCTTTTAGGAGACGATCAGGATGAAGGTGGAGATTTGGGGTAACACTCTTTTGGAAAGGACAGTTGGACTTACTTGGGCCAAAGGCGAAACGTCCCAAGTAAGTCCAACTGTCCTTTCAACAAAGAACTGGAAATCATAGATGCTGCATCCTCACTTTTAGACAGCGTCTCCCGGTTTAGGAGCAACATCTGCGTCCATCCAGACAAAGATGTTTTCAGGGAAGACCTTCAGATGATCTCAAACTACATTCTGACAACAGTTGAGATGTGAAATGTTGAACTCTTGTGATCAGCTGAGGAAATGTAAGTGAGCTCACATCGAATGACCTGGGGCCAGAATCTGGTGCTGCGCCCCTGCTGAGGGACAGCATCAGGTCAGAACCTGAGGACTCAGACCCAGTTTGATTCTGAAGTATCTGCTCTTATCTGCACCACCTGGTCAGGACTGCAGGGTCAAACACATGAGGAAGCTGAACCTGGACGGACAATCTTAAACATGGTGAGGGAATATGTGTGATTTATAACCCCACCTACATCATCCTTCAGTCTGCATCTGACAGAAAAAACAGTTTATATTCATCTAATTCTTCATGAAGGAGAGGAAAACTGCTGACAGACTTTTCTGAGCTAAAGCTTCACAAAGCAGCGCTGGAATCTGGAAATCCAGCCTGGAGCGCTGGAACGTGCACGTACACATCCATTTCCCATGTACATACAAACACATGCAATAAAGCAGGTTCCTTTATATCCCAGAGAGAGTAAAGTTAAAGAAGTTAATCTGACTTCATCTCTGTTTCCTGTGAAGACAAAAGAGAGGAGAACAAACCTGACAGAGAAGGAGGAGAAGATCAAAAAGAGAGGAACTGGAGAGGAGGAACGACAGAGATAAGACGGCTGAGAGGCTGGAACAGTGTGTGTGTGTGTGTGTGTGTGTGTGTGTGTGTGTGTGTGTGTGTGTGTGTGTGTGTGTGTGTGTGTGTGTGTGTGTGTTGGACCAAACACACCACCAATTAAAACCCATTTAGCCTGACAGAGGCTAATACCATCACAACAGAACTCCACCTCTGTCTCCGCCTCCTCCTCCCCTGACCCGTTTCAGCGCTCCAGACTTGAACACACAGACACACAAACACACACACACGGACAAAGAACCGGAATGATGGAGGGGAAATGGGTCAGAACCAATTCGGATCTTGAGTGGCGATGCACCCGTGCCGTGACGCTGTCACTTCCTCTTGGCAGCTGCTCTGGAGCATGGCGCTCATCCTGTCGGAGGGCGGCTGTTGAAGACGGAGAAGAGACGGACTTGATGTCGAACAGAAATGTCCTTCATGAGGAACAGAAACGTGTGATAGTCGAGAGAAGAACGGACACATGATACATCACCACATATCCTGACTTTAGCGACACAATAATCGGTTTGTCTCGGGGGTTGATGGTACGAATGACGGTGACTAAGTCAGAGATGAAGACAGGAGGTGAAAGACGTCCTTCACTCTTTCTTCAACTCTTTCCTGGTTTATACCTGTTGAGTTAAATTTCTGGGTTGTATTTCAGATCCATCCCCATTTCTCGGGTCAAATGGATTCTATTGGAACCCAGTTTGCATGGAGATCCCTGAACGGCATGACCAGAGTATGGAGCTCCAACCTCCCCGCCAAATCAAACTCAGCTTCTTCTTCTACGCGACAGTAGAGTCCGTTCTCCTCTGTGACAGTGAACACTGGACCCTGAAGCCAACCCTGGAGAAATCCCTGGATGGGTGCTACTCCAGGATGTGCTTAACATCAGCAAGAACGCACATGTGACCAACAGAACACTGTCCGAGGGGATACCACGGGTGAGCGAGAAGATCGCTGGGAGGAGAATGAGACGAGCAGGACACTGTCAAAGCCAGCAAATTGGTGCTGTGGGAATCAACACATGGTCATCAGTCAAGAGGACGTCCAACACTAACATACGTGGACATACTCAAGAGGGACGCAGGAGCTCAGAGTACCAACGAACTGGAGAGATGTTTGGAGAATCAGGATGACTGGAAGCAACGATGGAAGGTTTGTCTGAGGACGACCGAGAGAGATTTGAAGAAAGGAGGTTTTTAAAACAGGTTTTGAAATCAATGAAAAATCGTGTTTATTAATCGTGATTTTAAAATAATCCTGATGATTATTTCTGACATGATCGTCCAGCCCTGCCTCATTCACGCCCTCATTAACTCCGCCTTCTTTACTGCAGTAGAGTCCTGTCCAGGGTACCCAGCTAATCCCTGGACAGACTCCAGAATGTCCAGGTTCTCACCAAGTCCTGGCAGAACTTCACCTCAACCTTCATCCACCTCCACTGGCTCCCAGTAAACTCCTCCTCCTCACCTTTAGAGCGTCTGCAGACTCACACCTGAGCACCTCTCTGAGAATCCAGACTCCAAACCTGCAGCAGCAGCAGCACAGTCACTGAATAATGAGGCTTTAAAGCTTCATAAACCTTTTACAAAGACACTTAAACGAGTTTTCTTTTGCTCTTTTTTACTCTCTCTCATAACTGTCAAAGAAGTTACTTTATGGAGTTTATTTATATCCACCCAGGATTCACATCATGTCTCTGTTTGGCAAGATTTTCTTTTTTTCTGGAGCGCTTCATCGACGTTTGGCACGCTTCATACAAACAAGCTCTCCTGCCCAAACTTCTGTCCTGTGGGAAAGGAGAATGGCACCAACGGGATTAAAGAAAGACGGAAATATGAGTCAGATTTGAGGAGGGTGTCGGAGATATGAGAAGAAACACACAAAAACACACAAAAACACACAGCGAGTGTTGAAGAAAGAGAGCCAATAAAAGTTAATCCAGCGGGGGATAAAAACTTTTATGAGCAGGGTGGGGGTGAAGGGCTATCCCCGTTTTTACAAAAGCAGCACATGGTGGAAAAATCTCTTTTTACTCATTTTTCTCTCCTTCTCTCTTCAGTCCAGCCGACATTAATTATTAAAGCTTTTTCCCCAAAAGAGTCCGAGTGGATTTCACCGTTAAACCCGGAGTAAGTCTTCTACTGGGCACCTGCCAAAACCTATTGTGCTACGCATGAATGTTTGGTCATCAGCCAACTGCAGATTTATCCTGGATTACCATCTCAAATATGCCGCCATTTACCTACATGTAATGCTACCCCCCCCACCCCCCAACACGCCGCCGCCGCCGCCGCCGCCCCCGCGCGTCTGTTCATCTCAGGCCACAAGGCTCTGAGAGAACGCTTTATTTAGGTCTGTTTGGGGAAGGGGAAACACAGGGCCCTTGTACTGTGTGAACACATGAAGACAGAGGGCCAGCTTAACTGGAAGGGGCATACAGTAAGTGCTGGACCTCCCACCAATCAGCATGAGATTTACTCGACATTAAACACCCGGCTGGAAAGCTGCCAATAAGAGCAAACCTCCAGGAAAGCTTCTCAAACTTCCAGCTTTGATTGTTCCTGACTGCGAATACCGCCCCGCCGTCCAGAATCAGGAGATGAAATAACGTGGCAAATGTTTTTAAGAGAAGCTGGAGAGCAATAATTCACAAGAAGATATTGTTAAACAGATTTTTGTAGTTAAACTTGATCTTTGGATCATTTTAGATACAAGAGAGACTGAATTCAAAGTCTGTAAGTGTAACTGAACAACACAGAAGTGTCAGGGAGAGTAAATATGATATAAAACTGGAGGAAAAATCTCTTGTTTTTATGCTATTATGTTCATGTCTTTTTTGTAATGTGTGATAAATTTTGTCAGCGGTTACTTTTATCATTTTTCTATTTGCATTAAGATTGTCGTTATTTTTCAATGTTTTAAAGCAGATTAGATTCTGCAGCATTTAAGTCAAAGACTAAGTTCCCTAAAAGGAGGTAAAGTCTGTCGTATCATATCATGTCATATTAGATCATATCTTATTATGCTGTGTTGTATCATATCCTATCATAGGGTAATTTATGATAACCTATCTTATCACATTATATTGTATCATATCCTATCATGTCGTATCGTCCTCTTGTTCCGTATTTTATCCTGTTGTGTTGTTTTGTATATTATTACATCACTTTGTTTTGTCTCATACTGTACTGTATTGTGACGTCTTGCTCTGTGTCGTGTTGTAGTGTACTGTAATGAAGTGACCAGATTACTGAAATGTTATTGGGTGTGGGTTGGGGGGGGGTCGGCGAATCCTTTAGATAACATCACGCTACTCGCTATTTCTATCGTTTGCAAGGTGTTTACTTGCACTTCCTACCTACCCGGTTATCATTGTTGCTAACTGTAGTTCTGTAGTCTAAGTAGCTGTAGTCTAACTGTAGTTCTGTAATTCTGTAGTTCTGTAGTCTAACTGTAGTCTAACTGTAGTTCTGCAGCTAAAATCGGGGACAGGTCAACCAAAAACAGGGATTGTCCCTGGAAATGGAGACGTCTGGTCCCCTTATTGTATCGTGTCCCGTTACCTTGTCACGTATCGACTCTATCATACTGTACTATATCTGATCATGTTGTATTATATTACATTCAACTGTATCATATTAAACAATATCGTATCCAATCACATCATGTTCTATTAGATCATTTTATTAGATTTATTTATATCTTTACCTCCCCTATATTATATATTGTATTTTGTGTTTTATTGTGTCCTATGGTGTTGAACTGTACTGCGTTGTGCTTTAACACACCATAACATACTGTATTATACTGTACTATATGGTATGGTGTCCTACAGTACTGTATCATACAGCACTCAATCAAGTCATTTCCTACATAGTTAAATCTTTAATTGTCTGTTGTTGTATCATAGTTTATTTATCTATCAGTAAAAATTGACAATTGATTATTTAAAACAAGAAGAAAGTAGAGAATTAAGCAGACGTCCGTCTCATTGTATTATATCTGACATGCTGTGTGATGGTTGGTGTATTCTGTAATGTTTGCGCCCCCTACAGCTTTTATCGAACAGTTTAAGGCTTTCGTTGACAAACTCTGGTCTAAGATTTACTCTTGTTTGGCTCTCGGCCCGGTCGTACTCGAATCTTTTCCAAAACCTTTATTTTAGAGCATTCCTCAGCAGACTCCTGGACCCCTTTAATACTTTAGGAGACCCAGGATTTCGTCCCCTTCTTTAAGAACCAGGCCTGGGACAGAAAGGTTGAGTTTCTGTCAGCTGGATGGGAAACAGTAAAAGAAAAGAGTAAATAAGAGACTCTCTGTCCATCAACATAGACTGCTGATATGGACAAGGTTAGAGTTTTTAGACCCACACCAGAGCGAGTCTGTGAATGTGAAGTCGGGTCTTAAGAGACAGAAAATCTGTGCAAGAAAACAATGTTGGTATATAGTTTTCTTACTGCTATAATGTTGTTTAAACGACAATATCTTCAGAAAATACAGGAACCTTTACAGGGACCTCTGCCTTCTTATCTGAGCGCTGAGACAAAACATCAGAGCAGGTCCGAGTACTTCCTGATTTTACCGTCTGTAAACCTTTTCAGATGATAGAGACTTTAACGGTTACCCCAGAGAGACCTCAGGTGATTAAGACGTGTGTTCGAGAGGAATGACCAAAATCAAGTTATTAAGTCTTGAAGACTCTGAATCTGGTCAACAGAAGGTGACCAAAAATTAAACTCTGGACATGGAAAACATTTACCAGTCAACCTTGTTCTTTTTCTAAAAGCATGACCTCATTCCTTACCTAACTGTAACCACCTGTTACCAACTATAACCATGACAACCAAGATCACCAAACATTTATAAACTGGTCCTTTTAACCCAAACCATGAGTCCTAAACCAGGAGATCCTTAGCAACAGCACTCTCACCTCAAACTCTTCTCTCTAACAGAGCTCCACGGCTGGTCGGGGGGAAAACGAATCCACGATCGTCCCTTTTTTAAGGTTGGAGATGAATTTATTCTCTTAACCTTTGAACCTAAAGTTTGCCCATGTAGGGACAAAGATAATGCATGACAACTGTACTGCAAATTAGGGCTGGGCGATATGACATTTTTTTTTTAACACGATTTATTTTTTCACATCAGTCGATATCGATCAATATCAGGATATAAAAAACTGAAATGTAACAGTGTTTATTGGTCTCATGTCTTTTCCAACACAATAATCTCCTGCATCTGTGAGGTCTTTGTGTCTCTTTGACATTTTGTCGTAAGGCGTTGCTCTAGAGACGTGTCAGAATGCCCGTTAGATGTTGTTCAGGTGTTTTCAGGTAAATACCGTTCAGTTATTTTATGTTTTGTTTATGTTGACACTTTTCTGCAGGTTTTTCTGCTTTTAAATACTTTAAAATTAGTCCCTGAACTACAAACATGTCAGCAGCTCTTACTCCTTGTGTGCATATCAATAAATCTGTGACAGTGATATCAGGCATCCATACTCCATTGTTCTAAAATGTGCTAAAATCTGCTCCAAATCCACGGCTAAATGAGTTCAGATGTAATTGTCTGGTTGATGTGCCCCCGGCCTGACCTCCCACTTCCAGGCAGCTGCAGCAGAAAGTAAACACCTCTTCCCTTTTCCTCTTCCTCCAATTCTGTCACCTCCTCCTCCTCCTACCATGTTTGTCAATAGATTTATGTGATGAGGTGATGATCAGCATAACTCGCAGGATCTAAACAGCTGTGACCGAGCGACAAAGAAAACAAAAACGACTCTCTTCCAGATTGACAGAGTTTGCCCAGCTGACAGCTGTTTGGGAGCTCTGAGAGTCTGAGTGTGAAAACAGGCGCCGCTGGGCGGGTTGAGCGGTGGAACATTTGATTCGTCCTCGATTGTTCATCGTCTCAGTTGGGAGACTTTAATCTCCTCTGCGGAAATAATTGGGAGGCACTGATGGAGTTAATTGTGTTTTCCAATGATGATTCATCAGGAAGTGTTGGTGAACCCCGCTGACCACACGCCCACACGTCCAAATATGTGCACAGGCTCGTGCACGCCCCACTGTGTACAGAAGGGACCACATACCAACAAACCTTAATGACCACATTTTTCTGCGCTGATCACTTTCACTGACG